CACAAGATGGGAAAATAGTACAGAGTCGTTCTGGTCCTTTTAAGAATGACAATTTAAAGTTGGCTTTAAGAGAGGATATGCTCTTTTCCAGCATCCTCATTTTACAGATAAAAATATGAGAAACAGGGAAGATAAATGACTTGCTTAAGGTGACTAAGGTAATGGCATACAGGAACAAAATCCAATATTCACCACCATCTGATGCTGTAATGAAAATGGAGATGAAAAGTATTTAGCAAATATGGTTACTAATTTGGCAAAAAAAACAGCTACCATCTTTTAAGTGTATCTCTTAATGGTAAAATCGATGCTCTGTAAGACTAATAGATTTCACAGAAGAATTTGTTTATCTAACTGGTAATTTCTCACTCCCTGCCATCCCTTCCTCTCTGTCATATGCTTTAAGTTGGGGTTATCTCTGACCCCTCTTAGGGGCAAAATCTTAGAGCCACCTGGAATTCATAAATAGGTTAGTTTAAAAAAGACACCTTGAACTAAATTAAGGAAATCTGAAATTTATTGTGTCTGCTTCTCTCTGTAGTTAATAAATTTTAGTTTATTAAAAAAATCCAGTGAGTACCACTGACCAGAGGACACTTATACCAAGGCTTTAACTTTTGAAACAATTGATGCATTTACTAAGCCCTATTTATTCTTGCTTGGTCTTCAACTTTGACGCTGTGCAAGTAGTGTCATGGACCAAACCATAGACTCAGGTCCTGATTTTCTTTGAAAAGTTCACTTATGTTCAGTGTAACATAACGGGCAGCAGATTGACAGTGGGATACCTGGACTCCACTATTAACTACTTATGACCATAGGAGCATCATCTAACCATTTTGTACTTCAGGTCTTTTGTTTGTAGATGGCTCAGTGAATTTTTATACCTCTCTTGCCCTTTCTATTCTAAAATTCTTTGAATAACATTAGCCTATAGAGCTGAATTTTGATCTAGTCTGGAAAATATTCCCTGTGGGGCATTCCGTTGCATTATACTTTTTTAAAAGGTTTTATTCAAGTGCATATTTTTAGAGAGAGGGGAAAGGGAAGGAGAGAGAGAACCATCAATGTGCGGTTACTTACTGGGGACCTGGCCCGCAACCTAGGCATGTGCCCTGACTGGGAATTAAACCAGTGACCCTTTGGTCCACAGGCCTGTGTTCAGTCCACTGAGCCAGGGCCAGTTGCATTATACTTTTACTATCTGCGTATTATTTGGGGGGCTGTGGAAAGGAGAAGGAAAACCCCAAGATCAATCTTAATTTCACGTCTTACTGCCTCTGAGACTTATAATAATATACTCAGCCTTTCTAAATCAGCTTGTTAAACTCAAAACAGGAAAAACAATTTTTCTATGGCTTATATAATAGATCATAGTAATAATCAAGTGTAAAGTTACATAGAAGTTGTAACTCCCTATAAAACACACAGCATGATTATCTTTAAAATAGAAACAATGCTATAAATGTCCCCTAAAAATCTTTAAAACATTGCTCACTTTCTTAGTCCTCTTGGGCTGCTGTAACAAAATACGATGGACTGGGTAGCTTAAACCATAGGTATTTATTTTTTCATAGTTCTGGGAGCTTACAAATCCAAGATCAAGCTGCGGGCAGTTTTGGTTATTGGTGAGAGTTCTCATCCTGGCTTGAAGGTGGCTGCTTTGTTTTTATATCCTCACATGGTGGAGAGAAAGAGTGCCAATGTCTCTTTCTTTACTAATAGAGGCACTAATTTCATCATGGGGGCTCCTCCCTTAAACCTAATTACCTCACAAAGGCCTCACCCCCTAATACCATCACTTTAGGGATTAGCATTTCAACATATGAACATTTGGCCCATCACATTCACGTTAATGCTTGGAGAAAGACATACTACCAATATCCCCAAAGGGAAACGAAATCTCAAAAGGAATCCAGACTATTAATGGCTTGAGTGACTATAATTTTGCCATTGAAATCTAGATGAGAGTACAAATGATTCTCAGTCTCATAATTTCAAAAGTTAAGTGCCTTTCTTTACCAGTCCCATGTGTTTTAAATGTATGAGAATGTGAGGACTCAAAGGCACTGTAAAGATCAGCTAGATCATCTCCTTACTTTATAAGTGGGGACGCTGAGACCACCAGAAGCTGACTCTTTCAGCAGATTGCCAGTTTTGACTGGATCATGCCCCAAACTGATGGCACTTTCTCTACATTGTGTCTGTAATACCAGCCATTTCAGTATTCCTTGGTAGAGGTACAGTGTATCTTTAGGGTTGTTTTTCCACCAGGACTTATACAGAAGGTATGTAATGTTTCCCATCATTCTCATACTTCTATAGAGCAAGCTGGCAGTCATGACAAGGGGCAAATTTTCTACCCCCTTCATTCAGATATAGGGAAATCAAAATTTTAAGTTACGAGCCAAAGGCCACATAGCTGGGAGGCAGGATAATTCCAGGGAAAGTACACAGATTGTGATCAGGTCAATCTGGGACGGAAGACTTTTCCAACACACTTTAGCAGTATGACCTTGAGACAAGTAGTTTTAGTTTTCTAGGTTTTCAGTTCCACATCTGTAAAATGATAATAATGTAAAGATGACGTATGGTAACGGGTAAAGTGCCTGGAACATAATAAGCATTTCCCAGCCCCCAATTTTTTTCTTAGTAGCGAATCAAGAATAGCCAACAAAGTTCTTTCCTCCCTGCCCGGTGTACTCTTTATTACACTTCATGTTGCATAGATAATGTTGTTTTGAACTAAGAATATTAAGTGCATTTTTAAAAGCCTTGTCTTCCAAAATCAATCTCTTCATGTTTTTAATAATGCAAGAAAGGAGATTGAAGTTGGCCCACAGAGATTTTTATGAACCAAAGGGTTATTTTTAATTGGATTTTGTGCCTGTTGTTATGGAAATAGTTGTTTCATAGATTAAGCATTATGACTTTACTGCAAGATCAAGCCCAGAATGGGGTATAATGATGATATCACCCTTATGCTTTTTTTTTCCTGGACAAAATACTTTTAAAATTAAGAGAACAGGAGTGAAGCTGCTTCAAAAGCACACATTTCTGAGGGGGAAAAAAGATCTCCCCTATAAAAATAGCTTTAAAATGATATATTCTCTTTTCAAAGATCAAAACTAGGAATGACCCTTGTTGCCAGTAGGGTGCTAAGATTCTGCGGAGTTATTAAACACTTCTTTCTTCGCTATTGAAACTAGAAAGAGTTCCTTTGATCCTGGAACTTGCTTTCAACATTTGGTCTCAAAGCATTTTTGTAGTTGGTGAACTATCAAGTTTCTCTATTTAGTGATAAATCTCTTAAAACTGTTCTACCAGGATGAATTTAACTTTTCTAAAGAAGCAACAGGAGATGATTTCTAACCTTCAGGATGGCCTTATTTAAAGACAAGAATCAGTTCATCCCGCAAAATTTAGCGTATGTCACTGGCTCGTTTTAAGCTCCAGAAAAACCCTAACCAAGGAATATAGAACACGTTTCATCAGTAACATCCTAGGAGAGAAATCAGGGAGCTGGGTGAATAGTCTGCAGTGCTGAAAGCAAACGGTGAATGAGCTCTTGTCGGACTGACTACTGAGGTTTCTTCTATGCGATTCCTCTTTTATTTTCCCTCCTTCTTGGCGTTTTGGTATATCCTCCTATGCTCTTTGGACATTGATTGGTTTTGCTTACAGAATTTAGTTGAAGAAATTGTGAAGCAAATCCCGATCCTGAATCAGCTGAGAGTCATTAAGCTCAATGATGTCATGTATTTCATTATTTTAATGTACTAGTAAATTCCATCACTTAAAAAAACTGAAATCTATCACCAAATAATGTATCTTTAAAAACTTTGCATTATTTTTCTCAGTGAATCATAATGTCAGATTAGTAGAAATGCTTATTTTCCTATAAAATTTTTTTCTAGCTATACTAAAAAGCTGTGTTCCCTTGCTTTGTTTCTAAGTGGAAGGAGGACATTTATCTAACTTTGTCCTTTCAATAATTTTACACAACTTTCTGAGGTAGTCTTTCTGTTCTAAGCCAATTTAAATTCATTTATCTACAGAATTTAAACCACCATGGATTCACTGGCAGCTACCTTTCTGGTTATATGTCTTGCCCTCTTTCCTTTGGTCCTTACCCAGGAATTCCTTCCCTGTACTGCTTTTTAATATCACTTATTCCCTTTCCCACTCACCGGTTGGCCCTTTTTTTGTCTGTGACTTCTGTTTTCTTCCCTTTTTTTAAGGGTCGATACTTTTACCTACACTCATTTTCTGTGCCTGCACTGGAGTTAGTTTTTAGACACAACATTTCATAAATTTAAAAACGTGGTGGACATTGGGGGTACATGAAGTCAGAGTGAAGAACCACCCTCACAGAACATAGCACCCAGAGCAGCCTCCTCTCCAGAGTCTAATCCAGGGGGCCACTCACTGAAGATGGTTAGTGAATGATCTGCAGTCAGGTCTCTCCTGAAGTCGGAGGTCACATGATTGCTAGCTGCTCTGTTAGCAAGAAAGTGATAGCTGCAAAAATCAGGGAACTCTTTGCGGGGGAACAGTGTGTGTAAATATGGGAGGCTTCCCAGTGCTATATTGGCTGTGCCTATTTATGACAACAGGTTCACTCACTTGTCTTAGATCAATGTGTAATGTTAAAGATTCTCCTTCAAGTGTCACACCAAAATGTCTGTTAACTTGTCATTTTCCTTGCTTGCTATGACTCTAATGAGCTTGAAAATTGATCCAGCCAGTCCTCTTCTCTTCCCTTCCCTTCTCTTCTCTTCTCTTCTCTTCTCTTCTCTTCTCTTCTCTTCTCTTCTCTTCTCTTCTCTTCTCTTCTCTTCTCTTCTCTCTCTCCTTTCTCTCCCCTCTTTCACATTTCTCTTCTCTCCTCCGACTCCCTAGCTTTCCCCTTTTCTTTGTCTCTTTCTCTCACTCTCTGTGAGGTTCATTTGCTTGACTGATTCTGAGTGTCCATAATGACTGTTTGGCATATTCTACAGGCAAAGGTCCCGAGACCCTTTTTGCCGGCTATAACCTCAATGATAATGAATGGCACACAGTGCGTGTGGTTCGTCGAGGAAAAAGTTTAAAGTTAACGGTGGATGACCAACAAGCCATGACAGGTAAATCCAACTGTCCCCAATCGCCTTCTCTTTTTCTGATGCTTTAGACTTTCCCATTTCTGCAGGTGACTTTGCTGGGTCACATGGTGGCTCTATTCTTAATTTTTTGGAAAACCTCCATACTCTTTTCCATAGCAGCTATACGAATTTATATTCCCACTAGCAGTGAATGATAGTCCCTTTTTCTCCACAACCTTTCTAACACTTGTTATGACTTATCTTGTTGAGAACAGCCATTCTAACAAGAATGAGGTGGTATCTCACTGTAGTTTTGATACTACATATCAAAATAATAGCTAGTAAAGTTGAACATCTTTTCATGTATCTGTTGGCCACCTGTATGTCTTCTTGGGAGCAGTATCTGTTCAGGTATTCTACCCATTTTTAATTAGATTGTTTGTGCATTGGTGTTGAGTTGTATTAGTTCTTTATATATTTTGGATATTAACTCCTTATCAGAGCTATCGTTTACAAATATCTTTTCCCATTCAATTGGTTGCCTTTCTGTTTTTGTTGACAGCTTATATAACTGAGCAGAAGCTTCTTAGTTTGACATAATCCCGTTCATTTTTTTTTTTTTTTTTGCCCTTACTTCCCTTGCTTTTAGGGTCAAATTTATAAAATCTTCTCTAAGACCAAAGTCCATAAATTTAGTATCAATTTTCAGCAAAAATATTATTTAATAAGCTGCATGTTAAATTTTTTTCTCTCAAATGAGCAACTCTTCATATCATGTTTTCATTTATTTAATAATTCAAGAAGATATAGTTATAAAATATTTTAATTTTGTGGCTTAATAAATATCTTAGTGTCTCATAAAATATTGAGGTCATTGTTTGTATGCCAATCTCTGTTCAGTGTCTTTGTTCTAATGTATTTTAGTGATGAATAGCAGCAAGTCATCTCTGAGCTCAGTCTTCTTGTCTGAAGTGTGGGGAGGAGATGGAGAAGTGGTGAGGATTGAGGGACCCCCCCCTTTTTTTTTACAGTTACCAATGAAGATTTTTAGTCAAGCTTAAAGTAAAAAGTGATTTACTTAAGGAAAATAAAGTATCAGCTAAACTATAACATAGAGTTAACTCAGAAGTATCGAAACAGGAATCCTTGATTCTATAAGCAGTGATCTCGGGAAAATGGAGTTTAAAGAAATCTACAACAATCTCCCCCCCCCCCCCCCCCCCCCTTTCTTTTTTTTTTTTTTTTTTTTTTTTTTTTTTTTTTTTTTTTTTTTTTTTTTTTTTTTTTTTTTTTTTTTTCCTTTTTGTTTTTTTTTTTTTTTTTTTTACATATCAATTTAATAAAATAATCTGCTGACCACAATCTGTCATTTTCTCTTACTATGAGAGCTTTTGGGAGAATCCATGCTATTTTAAAATAGAACTTGCAGCTCTTCATCACCAAAACATATAAGGGGGAACCCCCCAAAAGGGAATTTATTTATAAAAAAGTCTGTATTTTTTCTTATATGTTTAAACTGAAGTCACTTCAAAGTTCTCTTCCCCCTAAAAGGGAATTTATTTATTAAAAAGTCTGTATTTTTTCTTATATGTTTAAACTGAAGTCACTTCAAAGTTCTCTCCATTTGATGCAATACATCTATTGAGATATTTTTTCCACTTCTCAAAAATGGCTTTCAACTTGTCAATTTTGTTGCCTTTTAGTGATTCTGCCATTTTTTGTTTCACCTCTTCTATATCAGCAAAATATTTCCCTTTGAGTACTCTTTTCATCCAGGGAAACAAAAACACTTTGGGCAAGATTGGATGAATAGGGAAGGTGGGGTACAGAGGCAAGCCATTTTGGGTCAAAAACTGCTGAACACTCAGCACGGTGTAGACAAGTGTGCTCCTAAATCACCCATCACAAAATGGGCAAATGGATTGAGAGAGTCTTAAAAAAAACCTCACTAAAGCCAAACGGAGTTTCTCATAACAGTGCGAGCTGATACACTGATACAGATGCGTTCCTAAAACACTCACCTAGCAGGGGAAGCCTGCACTACGTGGGGCCCTCCCTCCAGAAGATAATTCCAGGTGTTTTGGATCCTCCCTTGTGTAAGAAACAAAGAAACTGATAAATATGCTGGAATTTTGTCAGGTGAACTGCTTTTTCCTTATAAACTATAAAAGATCATTTTTATCATTTATCATTTTATCATTAAATTTTAAGGATGTCAAGTTCAATCCCTGGTTTGTAGATTCCTAACTAAGGTGAGCCATATAAAAATCTACCCCAGAGAATATAGGGGAAACCAAATGAAAGAGGAATTGGTAGGTCTTGACTCTCTCTGTTGAAAATAACTTCAAGCACATAACCTGCTGGGATATTAGCTCCTTTTTCTTCTTCAGAGAACATCATCATGTTAATTATTTTAGTACAAGGCAAAGATGGTCCTTGTACAGTGGAATAAGTGTCTGTTTTACATTCATCCAGGGGGAGTTCCCATAATCAGAGATCAGTCAATTCCATCGCTGTGGAAACATCATGTATGACATTTTGACTTTTTAGAGAATTATCCCTGGGTTCAAATGAAGCAAACTGCCAACTTATCTCTTTGTATCTTATTTCATTATTCCTTCCTGGCTTTTCAAAATTTATTTTCTACATGAGGGCTCAGCTTTATTTTGTTTCAGAATCATCTGAAGCATTAAAAGGACCAATTCTTAGCCTGACACCACAGGAGTCTGGGAGGAGCGCAACTATTTTTTTTTTCCTTAAAAATCTTTTTAGAGAAGTCTCATGCAGCTGGTCCATGGATTGGCACTAACAAACCACTGCAATGATAGGGCATTTAATTCTCTGAAGAAGAAAACCAACCAGAGAACCAGGAGCAGAAGCCTTTATTCCAAATTGCCAAGCATGGAATTGTGTGGACCTAGGGAAGGAAGGTAGGATTTTTGCAGAGCTTTGGCCAAAGCCTAAGCTGAAGTTCAGCTACTTTTAGTCAGGGGCAGAAGATGAATGGCTTGAACAATTTGGATTTTCTCAAGATGGGTAGAAATGAGCAGTTAAGATCTAAGTGCCTTAGGCTTCTTTGAAATGTCATTATTACCAAAGCTGAGAAAAGAGCCTCTGTGTGTTTTTTGTCTGTTAGATTGTTTGAGTTGCAAGAACACAGCTGCTTCAGTTCTAAATGGGCAAAGGGTCTTTGCTGACTCCTGCAGCCCAAAGGCGGGGCTCAGTCTCCCTCCATTTACCTCACCAATTCTGCCCGAGTTCCTGAACCTTGCCAAAGGCAGGGTGCTGGTATGCAGTACCCCTAAATCCCACCAACTCTTGCCTAGCCTGCTATTTACTCTTTCTCAAAATTGCAAAAACCTTAGAGCGAAATTAGATTCTACCCTCTGCTCTATAGGAGTTGACATATATACATTTTTTTACAGTTGTGGAAACCAACATGCTCTTTCTCAGAGCATAAATATGATATGGGAATATGAGCCAAGTCAAGATTGATGATTCACCTAAATTATGCATTTTTCTCCCAATACTCCATCCCACCTCTTTCTTTTCCCCAACTCCCAGCATCTTGTTGCTCAGAGTTAATTTTTTTCCATAGTAATTAATCTACCTCTACTTGGTGAGTTTTCATCAGGGTGATTTGTAGGATAGTGTTTTGTCAAAGATTTCATTAAAACCAACAAGCCATAATAAAAAAAAAAAAAAACAGCCTCAATTTATATTGCTAGAAATGGTTTCCAAAGATGACAATGGAAACTTGCCATTGAGGTTTAAGTTTAGGATGAAATTTTTTTCAAACATTCTAGTGGCCATTTGAAGTCATTTGTGAATCAGGAAAGCAATAGGGATTTCTCATGAGGTTTTACAAAAAATCAGGGATCACTGAACAGGAAAGTTTCTGAAAAGCAAAGTACTAGAGACTCTCCGTGCAAAAAAAATAAATTATTATAAATATAAAGTCAAGTATCTGTTGAACACAAGACAGTCCTTACTCAGGCTATTCGTAGGAATGTCTGACCCTCAGCTATGATCATGGGGACAGTAGTTACCAGCAAAGAAACCCTCAAAAGGGGGGATTTTTTAGGACTTAAATGAGAAAGTGTTCTACAAAATATTTGCGATCCCTAAGGGGGGCAGCCTTGGGTTTCAACTTATCACTTAGCATGTCAAAAATGTGGAATTGTGTGTTTTGTATGCCTATTTATGTTACTGAATGTGTCCTTCACTGGACAGTTCACGATGTATGCAGTTACTCAAACCTGGAAGCCCTACCTCATCATTCCCCTCCTTTCCATCGTCCTCTACATCATCAGTAAACCCTGCAGGTTGTATCTGCATAGTTATCTTGCTCTTTTTTTTTTTTTATTTGTGTTGTAACCACCTTAGTCCAAACCTTCTCCCATCTATTGTACCCACATTAGAGAGATAAAACACACACATGTGCACACATGCATGCACCACACATGCACACAATGTACATGAGCACATGCACTGACTCGTGGCTTCCACTTGTCTAAAACGCTTCAATAACTCCTAATATAATCAGGAGGCACTGAGATATCTGTGCCTTGACTCTCCTTTCCACCTGATGTGAGAGCCACTAACCTCAATTACTCATGACTCCAGCCTCATTTTCTGGCTCTTTTGCTCCTGAGAGCTTTTGTTTATTTGTCTTCCCTCCTTGGAATCAGCTTCTCCTGTTCTTAGCGTGGCTTTCTCTCTCTCTTTCTCCCCACCCCCTCCCAGCCCCTGATGCTCATGTTTTCTCTTTTTAATCCTCTAAATTTAAGTTAAATATCAACTCAGGTACTTCCCCACATTTCCTATTTAATGATACAATACCCTGCTCATCAAATTCCTAGTGTTTTTCTGAGGGTTGTCAGTATATCTTTAATTATTTTCTTTCATCTTTTTGTCTGCCTTCTTCCAATGGGCCATAGTTTGGTGAAAACAGGATCCATGTCATCTACTCCTGCCACTATTTTTTTTATTACCTGACATACACCTGAACCACACACTCAGTAGCTTGAAGTGAATTAACAAGTCAGTATAAGGCTCGTGGGTTATTTTGTTCTGCAGCAGCTATTTAGCCCAACTTGGAGCAAAGCTGAACCTAAAGTAGCTGATTTTGCTATCAGTTTAAGTAAAAAGACTTGATTTAGATATTGAGATTTTTATGCAAATATGCCATCCAGGTTGGTGTTTTTTATTTTTTTATCAGAAATTATCATCATTCTGCTATACCCTAGACACTTTCATTAGAGACATTTTGCTAAATTCAAATTCTCTTTCCACTAAATCTCTGAAAAAGACAGTGGATTTTTAAATGGTCAGCACTTTAAAAATGTTTCTCCTTTAAGACCTTTATTTTTTTTTTCTTAATCAATATATGTATACAAGAGTAGAGGTGGCTCCATTACCAATAGAGGATTAAACAAGAGAATAAATTCTGAGGGAAAAAAGAGTTTTTAAAAGGCAGCCGTTAATGTTTTCTTAGGCAGTGGATAATGGCTTTTAGGTGCTAATTCTCTCCCTGGAGCAAGTGTATCTGCCATTACTGTCAATGCAATTTATATACGTTTTTTAAAGAAAGAATGGGCTCTTGACCATGGGCCATAATGATTTTTCTTGTAACTGGGCTATGGTTGCACCACCACTGTTTTACTACTTTTTTATGATTTATGATCTGCATCTATATCCTATTCCTTTGAGAAAAGAAAACAGACATTACGTGCTATTTTTATCACTGAACTTCTCAGTCCTCTTAAACAAGATGTGTTTCACTATTTCAGAGCTGCCAAGACTTACTTGACAATGGGGGGTAATATTTAATTTCAAATATTAGAAATATTTTCCCAGATACTTTTTTTCTCTCAGTTGTTTCATTGATGGAACTTTCAAGAAGAAACAGGATAATTTCAGGGTTGGGGTGGGTTCACTAAGATTTTAATATCACGAAAAAGATAAAAATCAATACAAAGAGATGGAAAATCCCAAGTAACTTTTAAGCTTTGCATATTTTCATACTTTTTGGTTTCTTCATTTGATGTTACTGGTATCTCTAGAGCTTTACATTTGAAAATTACTAAAGGCTAATTTTATTTGCTACCAAAGAGAGAGTTCCCCGCAGAGCAGTGTGGAGGTCATTGAACAAGAAAAATTGAAGAAGGAGGAGGAAATGATGTCATCCAAGAAAGCAGAATTGCCAAGGATTTAATCATATTTTGCAACAGATAGACAACCAGGAGACATAGTGGGGAGGAAGAGGGAGGACAGGCAGCTATGGACCATGGTTTTTTTTTTGTTCTTAAAAAAAAGTATAAATGTTTGCAGGGAGGTGACTGGAACGAACCAATGACTAAAAGAAGAACACACCCAGGGCAACAGGACAGTTGTTACCAGGATCAAGGACTAGTAAAAACATGTCAAATTTAAGTAAAATCAAGTTCAGATTAGGGGAGAGATTTTTTTACCCCAGGGAGTTTATGAGCATCAAAGTCCATTCAATATGTAGATAATTTTTCTTGCACAACAAAGAATATACCTTTTATATTTTACTTACTTAAAATGCCATCTAATATTTTACTGTTTTGACTAAAGAAAGGGAAATCTGTCACACTCATTGAAGGAGGCCTACATAGGTGGCTACTCGATCTTCTTTACTCCTTGGAAGAAGGCCCAGTGAATTTTCTCAGGGGCTGATACTAGGATTGGCTCTAATTAATACTTTCATTATTATCATGGATGCTGGGTTATGGTAAGCTTGATGAATTTTTCAGTTATGCCAAATTGAGTAGTAAGTTAGTATCCAGAAGAACTTGACTGCAATTTTAATAACCGTTCTGAGTTTCAGAAGAAAGTGAATGACAGTTTAATTAGACAAGAATAAGATGCTGGGAGTAAATCATTAGCAATGATAAAGAAGTTTATACTGTGCCCTAAAAAACAAGTTTACATCTTTTTTTAAAGTTTGTTTTATCTTCAACCATGCAGGTAGGTACAATTATCACTCTGTAGGTAAAATGGGACTAGTTTGGCCTCCAATGGGGTTGACAAAGAAATATGGTGGATGAAGAGGATGGGGGCTGACTGGAATAGTGAGCCGCTACATAAATCTGCAACCAAGCTTAATATTCAAGTGTTTAAAGAAGAGTTTAACTTTGATAATGTGGCCTAATTTTATTGGTATTCCCAAAATTGGACATGCCTTGCATTGGTATATTGTGCTCAATGTAGTCATCCAGAACATCAGTACAAGGAAAACGGCACAGGGCCAGAGAGGATGAACAGAAATTCCAAAGTGGTTGGGAGACTAGTCCTAAGAAAGACTGTGGAAATTATTTCGCACAGAAAAATTAAGGTGAAGATGGCATACTTATCTTCAAATACATTTTCATGGTCCTTTACTGGAAGAATAGTCGGCAGCTCTTTATTATTTTAATTGGTGGGAGGAAAATATAGTCAGATTTTTGTTTGGAAGACCATTCCTTATAAAGAAAAACATCACAATAAAGCTAGGGTATATTGTTTTTTACTGAGAAGATTTAGAGCAACCATTGCCTCTACATCCTCCCTCTATCTTCCTTCCTTCCTTCCCTTCCTCCTTCCTTCACTTCCCTCGTCCTCCCCTCCATCCCTCCCTTTCTCCATTTCTTTCTCACTTGCTTTTCCTTTCTCTCTGTCCCTCTCTTTAACTTTTTTTTCTCCATTCCTTTCTCATTCATCACTTCCCTTTTTTCTTCTTCTACTTCTTAAAAACTGTTTATCTGTGGCTAATGAGGACAACTTTTTTAACACTAAAATTTGGACAGAGATTGAAACCTGACATAAGAAAGTTGTATTATGTAATACAACCTAGCCCTTTAATACCACATGTTTTTACCATATGGAATTGAATATCAAGGAGGTATTTGGATTCTTGTATCATAAAGTGTGATGTTGTTATGTAATTCTAAAGTTGAAAGTATGTTCCAGATACAGAAAATAAGAATGCATTATCCTCTCTTCAGGTCAAATGGCAGGTGATCACACCAGGCTGGAGTTTCATAACATAGAGACTGGCATCATCACAGAACGACGGTATCTGTCTTCTGTCCCCTCCAACTTCATTGGGCACCTTCAGAGCCTGACATTTAATGGAATGGCATACATTGACTTGTGTAAAAATGGCGACATAGATTACTGTGAGCTAAATGCCAGATTTGGCTTTCGGAACATCATAGCAGACCCTGTCACCTTCAAGACCAAATCGAGCTATGTTGCCTTAGCTACATTGCAAGCCTACACTTCTATGCATCTTTTTTTCCAGTTCAAGACAACATCCCTAGATGGACTAATTCTCTATAACAGTGGGGATGGAAATGACTTTATTGTGGTTGAATTAGTTAAAGGGTGAGTATATGTCAGTTCAATGACAAGTAAAATGTTGGAAAACTGGACCTCAATTTACAAAAATATGCATTAAACAAAATGTATTGGCTTACAAGGTCATGGGTTAGGGTAGATACAGGGGAGGGGTATTCAAGTAATGTATTCATTTAAATTGCTTAAGTATTTTATAAAATTAATAGGGGTGTTGTATAGTCTTTATACCTATATTTTCATATATGAGTTATCATATGAGATATAAATAACATCAAGTTCTAATTTATGTTAGGTGTTCCATGAATCTTACACTTCAAATATGGTTAGTCTTCCTATAACTATGCATACTATATTCTACAAAAGAATTTCTACAAATTCGTAGGCTAATTTGTGCTGTTAAATAGCTACTTCAAGTAATGAAATTACTTGAATTTTATAAAATCCCATTTAACTTATGCTTAATTCTATGTCCAAGTTCCTTGAAAATTGAGAAGAGACATTTTTATGAAATGTCCTTGAAATCGTGATAAAATTTTTATGTAGTTTAATTGATTTGGGTATTCATTTATTCATTCACTGAATATTACTGCCTATTTACAATGGACTAGATAATGTGCCAGGAAATACGTACATTTCCCCGCCAACCCATGTGTATCTCAGATCCCACCGACCCCAAGCCACACAAATGCAAACACAACCCTGGGGGATCTAGGTGAACACATAAACAGAACAGAGGAACTATGAAAGGTTTCTTAAATGATCACATGCACAGGCTTAGGAGAACATTTAGGGAAATGAGGAAATGTATGAGGCAGGGAGTGGATGTTAGAGTTGAACATTTCACCTAAAATGTCAGTTGGTGTGCTTGAGTGTGATGTTGTTATGTTACAGAATTACATGCTTATGATTTTGTAATAAAACAGGGGTGTTATTGTGCCAGATCCTGTATAACTTCCAATATCAGAGTGTAGACCATGATTTAAACAATTATTTTCACTATTCCTTGTAGTGAAGATAATAGAGTCCTCCTTAAGGACATAGAATAACTTATTACCTTCTTGTTAGCTGAGCTTCTATACCACCAACTCTCATGGTTTCCAGCAAGGGTGGAGTCACCTGAAAAAAAATTGTCCGTTTGTAATATCTATTTTGACTCCATCAAAAATTCAAAAAGTAAATGCATTTTCCCACCTTTCCTTTTTTTCCCAGGTACTTACATTACGTGTTTGATTTGGGAAATGGTGCTAACCTCATCAAAGGGAGCTCAAATAAACCTCTCAATGACAATCAGTGGCACAACGTGATGATATCAAGGGACACCAGCAATCTCCACACTGTAAAGATTGACACGAAAATCACAACACAAATCACCGCAGGAGCCAGGAACTTGGACCTCAAGAGTAAGTGCATGGAGTCAGAGTAACAGACATGAACCTGCACATCCCCTGTCACCTGGCAAATCTCTTGCTTGTGGGGGGTGGTGTCCCTTCTGCAAAAACGGGCCAGGATTTCATTTCCCGCTCATAATCAATAATATAACACACAAGCCACTGTCCCCCTTGTGTTGTGGCAGAAACATGCATTTTAATAGCAGTTCCAAACATGCACCACCTAAGAATGCATGCATGATTAAGTTTTAAAGAGTGAGAAAAGTGTGCTTTTAGTTTGAATGTACAAAGAAAAATAGGCGTTTGCAAGTTTCCTGAGTCCCAACAGTTTTCAATCAATGTGGAGTCAAGGCAAACAGAGACATAAGGAGTTTTATCAAGAACTCAATAGTTTTATTTCCTTGGTGAGGTTTCCTAGATACTTGCAGACCCTCCGATCAACAGGGGCCTGAGCCTGGCCCTTACCTTTGTGCCTCCAGCCGTGAATCCTCCCCCTGAACGCACCATAGTGGGAATGGCTCTTTTACCAGCTTCTAAGAAAGTCTCAGCAGGCATTTTCTTTCCTTACTGATACTTGAATTCTCAAGTGAGCAACACAAATTACTTAGAAAACATGTCAATACTAGGAGACAATAACTTAAGTTTGTATTTGAGTGAATTACTAAGAACATATCTATATATGCCATCTCACTTAACTCTACAACAAGCATCAGACAAGGTATCATTTGCATTTCATCATTTCATTAAGAATGTAGGAAACTTGAATTTGGAATGACTTTCCCAGGGATAAAAATTCTGCTACAGTTGAGTAAAAGCGTGACGCCAGTTCTGAGCCACGCCCCACCATTCTTCTGCTTTGCCCCGAAGCATTCCTTCCATAGTCCTCTGGGGGTCAAGCGGTCAGGTTTGTGCCTGGCAAGAGCTGTTCATTTACACCGGCAGGATCTTTCCCTTTGATGAGAAAGGAATATCCATGGGGGAGTTAGGGAAGTGGAAAAGGGAAGAATCAACAGAAGTCTTTCCAGAGAAAATGCTCTTTCTAAAAAGGAGAAAAGAAGAAGGAAAAGTGTTTCACTTTCTCTAACTGTGGAGTTAATTTACAATCCCAGGACTCAGTCCAACATCTAAAATGTGTGGTAATGGCTGTCTCCCTTCTTTCAGAGAGGACCTCCTGTTAACTTCAAAGACATCTTGTTTATGCCCACAAATCTAACAGTTTAGCTCAAGAAGCAAAGTGAAATTTTCTTCAAGGCTATGCTGTTTCACAGGAAAAAGCCAAAAAGCCTCTTTCTTGTCTCTGACTGAAGTGAATGGAGTCTGTTTTCTGCCCCACAAGTATGGGTGCCCCTGTTCTGCACAGCACGCTCAAGTAGGACTTGTCAAGGAAAAAGGGGAGACTGTGACATGCAGTGTGTTGGCCGAGCCAGCCACCAGTGCTAAAGCAAAATGCTGTCCCATTTGCGTAGGGAGTGGCCTCTGTGGGCATACCTGCGCTTCACTAGAAACCTGACACTCTGTCTGTCGGAGGCTCGGAGGCTCGATGGCTGGAAAGGAAGCTGTCACAGGCCGATTGAAGTCAGTGATATGCAGAGACCTGCCCATGGTGTGGGGGGGGGGGCGGCGGGGGGCGGGGGGGGCCCGGGGCGGGGGGGGGGGGGGCGGATGGCACAGAGAAGCAGTGTGAGCCAGTGGGTAGTACCTCATCGGACAGTCAGGACACTGTCTCCGAGATGTAACGACTTGCTTATTGTTCGTTAAAAAAAGAAGTGGAGATGATAGGAGGTTGAAGTGTAGGGTTGTTTCTAGTGAGGACGGGAAAGATTTTTACAAATCTAAGAAGTTTTCAGAACTGAGTTCTATTAAAACATTGAGTATTTCATGACTCTGAATATAAGAACGGTTTTATCCATGATAAGAAATAAAAACTAAAGTTATGAATTGAAAATAGCATATTATATAATAGATAGTAGGTATTAAAATTTGAGTGCATTTGTGTTAAAAAAAGACAATTTTAATTGGAGGTGTATCTCCCAGGAAAATAAAGAGATTCTATATTAATGACTTTTACCTCAGGAAGTTCCTTGTATTTACAAACTTATCAGACTATGCCAAAAGTGAGAGTATGTTTCTAAAATTAAAAATTGAAAGTCAAAGCTGTGTGCTTGTAAACTAAATGTGTGACCCAAAGCCAACAATAACCCTAAAGAAACCCCCTTGCCATCTTTGCCATCGACTAGAGAGAGCGCGTTGCTCCTGCGCGGCATCTCCCAGCTTCCACCATCACCACCTTTTGGCGTGTGTGACGGTGGCATTGGTCAGATAACCAGTATTTACTGAGCACGTACTCGGTGCTGTGTAGAGAACAGCGTTGGGAAGAGGGCAGTAGGTTTCCTGTGATAAAAACCTTTCTTTCCCTGGGAGAAGACCTAAGGTAAAGAGGTTTTAAAGGAAACCCAAGCCCTGGCCAGTGCGGCTCAGTTGGTTGGAGCATCGACCCATAACCAAAAGCATGTGCGTACAATCCCCAGTCCAGGCCCCTACAGGAGGCAACTAATTGATGCTTCTCCCTCTGCCTTCCTTTCTCACTACCTCTCTCTCTAAAATCAATGAAAAAATGTCCTCAGGTGAGGATAAAGAACACAAAAGAACACAGTGCCCTGCCAAGGCATTGAAATTAATCTGAGGATAACAGGAAGGCTTTTAGAGGAAGGGATGTTTAAGGGAAAGCTGAAGGATGAGTGAGAGCAACTACTCATTGTTTCTCCTTCCTACCTGGATTCCCATGAGAATTAGGGGGGCTTATTCATATAGGACAATGTCTATAGGAACTTTTTACTCAGAATTGAACACACTGTTGTCTTTGCATGCTAGTCATGTCAGGTTCAGCCACTCTAAATGCAGGAAAAATGAAAGCTGATGTATCTTGGGTCAGTGCTTTCATTTCATGTATATTTTGCCTAAGAACTGTATCCATATAGGATTAAAAGAAAATTATCAGAGTCATCCTACACTCTGGCTGAAGTCCCTGCAGCAATCTGTAGTTCTTCTCAAATGAGGTCAGTCGGCTAACATATCAGAGTCAGGTGGTGGGATTTATGAAAAGCAGATTCCTGGGCCCCACCTCAGAGAAATGGAGGCAGTAACCATTTGAGAGTAATGTGTAGGGAACAACCGGTGTCTGTATTTTTAAAAAGCACTCACTAATCTAAACACTGTATTTTTCAAAGTCCAGAAAAAATGCAACATCTAGGTTGAAGCCAAATTTAACTCACATTTTAATTTTAGTACAAATCCTGGTTTTGCCTTTTTTTTCCCCCTAAAAATCTTACTTTTGTTTTATTTTACCAGTCCTGGGCTGAGGTGATATTGGATGCCACGGCATTATTTCAAGTGTTTTTAAATTTCTCATGTTACCATCCCTTAAAAAGACACTAGAGGGCAGCATATGGCCACAAAACTTGTCATCTGGGACTCAGGAGGGGGAAAACCTCAACGGGCTCCTCTTGTGCTAGGAAGCACAATTTCTTTGTTTTCCACCATCCCAGGTCCCCGTTAGCCTTTATAATAATGCATGATTTAGCCTGTGGCCCTGTTTCATTATATAGAATGGATCTTACTGTAGAAATTTGAAAGCTAGGGAAAATGTATCCCATTCTCCGTCCTGACTTCCAGAGACGGTCAGAAATGGGCAGCAGTCAAATGATCTTTCTCTGAGAAAGAGAATTCTATGCTGGTGACCTTGTTCAAATTATCTTTCATGACACTGCTGGGTTCTCAGGGGGCCGTGTGTCTCTCCCTGCTGACACAGTTTTGCTTTCATCTTTATTTCCCAGCTGTTTGTGTTCTATTCCCTCTGGCTATTATGTACAAGCTGCAACATGCAATGAAAAGAGCAGCATAAATTTGCTCTCTGGAATGAATTTCTAGCACAGCTGTACTTCATCGTGGGACTCCGAGTCCTGCCCCTTCAGAGTGAGAAAGGGTCTATGTCATACCCCCTTGTGTCCCTTCTCTGGTTTATATTTGGCAAATATATGTGTTAGTAAGTGTGTGTTTGTATATAGTATGTAGGAATGAGCTAATATCTATTGATTCCCTATTAAACGCTAAGCAGAATCAAATCAGATTATTTTATTTAACCCTAACAATTACCCAGGGTTTTGAATTGAGGTCAGTCTTGCTCATTCATTAATCTAGTTCAAGAACAAAGATTGGGAGGAAGAATCATTTTTGGCCTCTGTCTTCCATAGATATCTTTTTTATAGCATTATTTGTTTGTCTTTCAGCAAATTGAGGATAATTTATTTGATGGGGTAAAAAAAATAAAGATTTCTAGGTGACTAGAGTACAGTGCCTTCAGGTGGCCGCCCTCACAGGAACTACTTAAAATTGAGTAATTCATTCATAGGCCGCATCTAGGTCAGCCCAGGCAGAGCTTTGCCCTCTGTTTTTCCTCTCAGACCTCAAATTCCTTGCCCCTATAAGGGTTTGAGCAAGTTCTCCCTCTGTCCCCATCTTACCTCATCCAATGACTGTTGAAATGACCGTTATGTGCTCCTGAACCTTCTTATCCTTCCTTAAATATACCTTGACAGCAAATACCTGCTCTTGTTTATCATGCTACCAAGCCACTAAAATTCCCTCATCAGAGAGGGCCCAACCAGAGCTTTCCTTGCAAATGTATTCAATCTCTAAGAAAAATTGAAAGAAAAATGCAGGCATACCTCCCTTGAGGATGCAGGGATGTAATAGGGGTGTTTTTGTTTTTGTTTTTGTTTTTTTTACAAATTGAAAGCAACAGCCTCCCCATATGCAAAGAAATTTGCCTGGCTGTACTGCTGTGGTCTGAAATCGAACCTGCAAAGTCTCTGAGCTTCGCCCGTAGTGTTCTTGCTCTTTTCACCTTGCTCTCACACTATTGTCTTTACTCAGTTACCTACCTGCTCAATCTTGAACATAGGACGTATGCCCCTATTTTCTACCCTTCAGTGTTGTTCTTTGATAAATCATTG